GGGGGGGGGGGGGGGGGGGGGGGGGGGGGGGGGGGGGGGGGGGGGGGGGGGGTAGGACGCTCGAGGAGAACACAGAAATCACGATGGAAGTCATTGCGTCAGGGAAACAAGCCAGCCATATTCACAACACAAGGAGTCCCATCCTTGAAAATTGGTAGCCGAGGCTGAGGCGACGTATTCTACATGAAACTAGGCTCAGCAAAAGCTGTGCAAGACATCACGTATCTATGTGAACGTTTACAACTCTGACGTTTCCCATTGTCATGAACCCCCGTTCCCTTTAGCGCTTCGACGCTGAGCTACAGGTGAGATAAAAAGCACTTGCTGTGATGCGGTACACCTCTAACAACTGCAGCGCTTACCGCATTCCTCCGTGTTGTTGTCCTTGTCACAGTTGCCATCGCCGATGGCCCTGCGAATTTTCGCCAAGACCCACAAAGAAGAGCAAAGGCAACAGCAGCAGCATCGGCATAAGCGGGATGAGGCAAGCCGCCAATTGAGTGCACACAGACGGGCTAAGATGTTTCCCGATGTATCTCCAACAGTAACGAGAGACCTAAACGTGCGGCCAAGACCTCCGCATATTGAACTGCCGCTGGGCTTGAGTCACATGTGATGCAGCCATGACGCCAAGTTCTCTCTACCGCGCTGACGGTGGCTTCACTTACACAACATGGGCTCAGGGCAGGAGTAGCAGGATCTGGAATCATCTTTATTCACATAACAGAGAAGTTCAACTTCCACCAAAACTGCCCACGTTCGCTGCAACGACGGTAGTAGAGCAGTCATCATTGCCGGTACGTACCAAGGATCCCCGCAATTTTGTACGGTCTCTGTACCAATATCATCATCGTCGACACACTCCGCGCTCGGGTCGACGCAATCGAAGCCGCTGACACCGCAGTCGTAGGTATCGTTCTGATGGGACGGCCAAGGATGGGTGACCAAGCACAGCGACAAAAATGCGTATGTTTCCCATGACACATTTACAACGTTGGTGCTCGATACCACATGAAGCACACGCGTCAATGCATCGCGTTGAATACCGTTTAGCGGAATACGTATCGATGGGTGATTCCAACTTTTGAGCTAGAGGAGGTCGGGTGAAAGGTATTTGCCGTGTGCGCCAACGGCCGATGGACCAGGGAGGCGTTTAATTTCACAATTGCCCACGGGTTCGGATGAATGCGGAGTTCCGACAGATGCCTGCGGTGCTCGTGCGCGTAGGAACGACAGCAGATACACATTCCACGTGCTATCAGCCAGTAGATAAATGAGAGGGACATCGAAAGCAGAAATTTAGTTAGAAGGAGAAATATGCCGGCAGCACCCACTGCATATTGGGAACCGAAAGATATTTCTCTCACCTGACATGTGCAAGAACAGCAATCGCCGCCGTCGTACTCTGAGGAATTCAGCGAGAGGCGCAACAGCAACAGCACGAGGACGTCAGAACAAGCACGCGGGAATTTCCTCCTTGTTTCGAATGTCACGTGCAGTTGTGCGTGAGCCCTTGGATCCGGCCCCTGGTACGCTTGCTGTTGAGAAGCGATACGAGACAATGGGCCGTTCGGGAAAGGCATGCAATGGCGAGAGGACTGGTGCTGCAGTAGCAGTCGAGCAAAATTGAACAAACGAAGAACGTGACACGATGACGAAGGGGTCGTCACGGCGATCGCAGATCCAGTTGCTACGATTGCTGCCAAACGTGACCAAAAACCGCATTGATGACAGAATTCTTGGTCTTGCGACGAACACAGTCACGAAGATGAACAGCGCGAAGCACCACCTTCGTCGTACCAATGTTGATGGTCGGTACTGAAATAGACAGGCTGAGACAAGCCATGGGAGATCTATACTTGTTCGGCATTTTCCTCTGCCGAACCACTGAATGTCCAAGACAACATTCTTCGAGGCCTTCAGCGCCCACACGCCGGCTCTAGATCTCAAAATTAGGTAGGGTAGTCTAAATGTATGCTCAACAGCAGCGCGTGCTATCACGGAATGTTTGTTCCACGGGCACGCCCCGAGCGCATGCTGTCAACCCACAGATGGAGCTGAGGAACAGAGCGTACGTACCGCATTCAGCGTTGTTGTTGTGAGTGTCGCATTCGCCGTCGCGGTAAAAGTCGGGAGAACAATCGTTGCTCGTCGTGGAGTCGGCCTCTACCCGAGTGGACACGATAGCCACGGCAATGAGAAGCCCGAGCCAGCCGTGGGTAGGAGTCTTCATGGAGAAAACCGTGACCCTATTGGTTGACTGGCAACAAAGACGAAGAACGAAGCAACCTGTGTTTGGACAGAGCACCATCATGGTTGGGGGATTTGGGGGTTACAATCACTATCAAACGCCGGTACTAATGGCATTTTGCCTCGGACTGAGCAACCTCGAGCAACGAACCTCTCGAATTATTCATGTGTGGAAGGATTGTTCGGAACAAGAGAGAAAGCCCATGTCTTGATCCCGTTGCACTCATGCGGCAGTCCCTTTCACGGTGACCCGCTCAAAGTGTTCGCGAAATGTCGACACAAATGTACTGAAATAGCACACGCCACATACATGCGAATCGCTCTAAACTCTAAGAAAAATCGCCTAAATAAAATTCGCCCCTCTCTTCGTGTGCGGGAATTTTTTTCTGGTGCGCTTGAGGTGGTGTTCATGGAAGAAGCACATTGCAGCGGAGGATCCTACACCTAGATGGAATACGAAACCGAGAGCCTCGACCCCAGCATGCGCGCCCGCATTTCAGCCATTTGCATCGACAGCCATAGACTATGCTCCAGCTCAACACCGCGTTATCATACCTGGAGGGAGGCGGCTGGTGGGATGATCAAGACCACACCTGCGTTAGGTTTGCGGGGGCCGAAGGCGGAGGGCGCAGAGGTTCCCCACCGAAGAAGTACATGGGATGTATTAGGCGGGAGGGATACGTACAGAGAGGGGACGGTCACAGATATGCCGAGGAAGAAAAAAGTGCAGAAGCAACCATTCGGACCCGTTCGGGTAAACTCCAGGAACACGGCGATCTGGGCGACGCGACAGCTGCGTCACAAATTTAACAATCATGAGTAGGGCACGCACCACCTCCAGTAGAGCAAGGTGAAGAAAAGAAATGTGTCCAGCCTTGAAGGTGCCTGCGATGCGCGTCTTGTATCTGTTTATACCAAATGTGCAAAGTGTGACATAAAAACAAACATTACAGCGTACACGCATGCAGTCTGCTGTATGCATACAATGAACTAGACTGTCGTTGCATACCGTATATGACACAAGATAACACACCCCCTGGACCGATTTTCAAAGCTCGATTACTCCACGACGAAGAGGATGCATAAACGAAACGATATATTTTCGAAAAGCTCTCGACAAGACGGTTTCAACGCCGCCATTTTCGGCGCTGTGACTGTTCCGGCAGTTGAGAAATTGAGCTTCCAAAATCGGTCAAGGGGGTGTGTTATCTTGTGTCAATCACCGTAGGCATGCAACGATGACCAGCGATCTTGGCCGGCCCCCATCCGGTCGCCCCGGTGGTCTAGTGGTATCCTCGTAATCCGCTAGTCGCAGAGGTCGTGAGTTCGAAACCCCATGGGGTGCAAAATTTACGAAATGTGCGGGTGACAGCCAAATATAGTGGACAAGCTCTCATGAGTACCAAACTTTGAGGTTAGTACCGTTGACGAGGGAAAGGGACGGCTGGACCCTTCTCGCGATAAAAATAAAATTCAGCACGCACCGCAGGAGGAAGGCGGGGCATGAAAAGAAATGAAGAAAAGCCCTGGTGTTTACCACCTCCTGTGTGACCCTGGATGGTTGTAGTTGTACGAAACAATGCACTGAAAAGTGTAGTACTCTACATACGCTGAAGTGTAGACTCACCACGAAAAATGGGGAGACTGTCGCCATAATTTGTACCCAATTGATAAATAGGACGAAAACACACACACACACACAC